TTTTTTTCTTTTTGCTTATGTGGTGCTGAGGAATCGAACCCAGGGCCTCTGGCATGCAAGGCATGCGCTCTACCACTGAGCCACCTTCCCAGCCCAACTATAAGATTCTTAATTTAAATTGACTTTTCAAAAGAGGAACTTCCTTTCTTCACAGGCCTTTTTTTTTTTAATTAAGGCCATTGAGTAAGCATTTGAGTGATTCCTCTACTTCTTACTTCAATTTCAACACTGAGGGATTCAGTAAGTGGAACCATGTGAGGAAATTCAAATAATGTTTCCCTCACTATGGTCCACAGGACTCCTTGCATCATTAAGAAAAGCAATCAAGCCAGGCGCTGGTGGCTCATGTCTGTAATCCTAGCTACTTAGAAGGCTGAGATCTGATGACTGCAGTCCATAGTGAGCAGGAAATTTCTTCAGATTCTTTTTTTTTTGTCAGTTATCGAGCTTGAACTCAGGACCTGGGCGCTGTCCCTGAGCTTTTTTTGCTCAAGGCTAGTGCTCTACCACTTGAGCAATAGCACCACTTGTGGTTTACTGGAGATTAAATGGAGATAAAAGTCTCACAGATGGAAGTGGCGCTGTGGCTCAAGTGGTAAGGTGCTCGCCTTGAGCTGAAGAGCTGAGGGATAGTGCCCAAGCACAGAGTTCAAGTCCCATGACCAGCAAAAAAAAAAAAAGTCTCACAGACTTCCCTGCCCTGGATTGGTTTTGAACCTCCATCCTCAGATCTCAGCCTCCTGAGTAGCTAAGATTACAGGCGTGAACCACCAGCACCCAGCTTCTTGAGACTCTTATCTCCAATTTACCACCAAAAAACCACAAGTGCAGCTATTGTCCAAATGGTAATAGACCACCAGCTTTGAGCACAAAAGCTCAGGGACAGCATTCAGGCCTGAGTTCAAACCCCCTGAGTGGTACCAGAAAAAGAACAGAAAACAATCAAAACAAGATATTTTCAAATAATTATTTGTTCTAAAGGAACAGAATTTGGTACTCACTTGATTAAGTCGATCTTGCAAGATAGCAGCTATCTGATTCCTTGTATAAGGTGGGAAGTTCAACAGCTGTGGCTTACATTTTTCTCTAGCTTCAAGCCTTGGCAGAATTCTGTCAGTGAGATCCAGAGTATTAGCAATACCTGAGAAGATAAATACCAATCAGTCAAATCATCGTGCCAGGAAAATTAAGCCCTCTGAAAGATAAGCAATAGTATTTCCAGTTATAATCTAGCTTTCTAACTGTTACTTTCCACTTGCCTTCCATCCTATACCAATAGGTAAGATGTGTCTAGCCATTAAGCTGAGCATGGTAGTACATACCTGTAGTAAGAACACTAGAGGCTGGGCTGGGAATGTAGCTTAGTGGTAGAGTACTTATCTAGTATGCATGGAGCTCTGGGTTCAATTCTTTGATACTATAAAAACAGAAAAAGCCAGAAGTAGCCGTGTGGCTCAAGTGGTAGAGTGCAAGTCTTGAACAAAAGAAACTCAGGCCCAGGCCCTGGGTTCAAGCTCCATGACTGGCAAAAAAAAAAAAAAAAAAATTTAGGAAGCTGAGGCAGGACGATTGTAAATTCAAGGCCAGCCTCAGTTGCATGCATTTAAGAGACTTTGCATAAAAACTAGATAAAGGGGCTGGGGGTTTAGCCCAGCGGAAGGGCGCCTGCCCAGCGCACGCAGGGCCATGGGTTCAGTCCTCAGCCCTGGAAAAAAAAAAAAAACTAGATAAAGCCAGGCACTGGTGGCTCCCGCCTGTAATCCTAGCTACTCAGGAGGCTGAGATCTGAGGATCGAGGTTCAAAGCCAGCCCGGGCAGGAAAGATTGTGAGACTCCTATCTCCAATAAATCACCAGAAAACCAGAAGTGGTGCTTCGGCTTAAGTGGTAAAGGACTGGCCTAAGGCTGAAGAGCTGAGAGACAGTGCCCAGGCCTAGAGTTCAAGCCCCACAACTGACAAAAACAAACAAAAAAGCAAAACAAAAAAACTAAATAAAATTACATATAAATACATGCATAAAAGCATATATATGCATAGCTATACACATACATATATATGTATATACATGTATACCTACGAATACAGAGATACAAAACTGTAGGCTGGGTGCTCCTGCCAAGCTACTCAGATGAGATTTGAGAACTGAAATTGGAAATAGCCCGGGAAGCAAAATCCAAGAGATTCATCTCTAACCATCAAAAAGCTGGAAGCTGAGCTGTGGCTCAAGGGATAGTGCCAGGCTTGAGTGCAAAAGTGTAGGGACAGAGCCCAGGCCCTGAGTTCAAACAGTACAAGCATGCATGCAGCATGTGTATGCATGCATAAACGCATGCACACACACACACACACACTCACATACATGCACGCCAGGGTAGGATGAGGGGAAACACTACAGAACCACTATATGATATTTACAAATGAGCACTAACCAATTAGCACCAATCGAGAATGGCTTAGCCAGGGCCATTCAAACAGTGTGTATAAAACATCCTGCCCTTTGCTGTCCAGCTGATCCATTTCGTCCAACACCAACACACTACAGATTAAAAAAAAAAAAACAAAACCAGTTAATATCCATGGGCACCTTTCTAACCCTACAGTGTTTGATCCAGGCTGACTTCAGGTCATATTCCTACAGCTGAGATGTGAAGATCAGAATCTGTCCTATTTCTAGCCACTGTTAGAATGGCACTCGCTTCTCCTCTCCCATCAGAAACAAGTAATATCCTATTGTTTTCAAGCAGTTGGCTTCAAAACCACTTAAGATTTAAAACTTTTAAAATTTTAACTTTCTCTCATAGAGAAACTGAGAGTGTTCTTGGGCTGGGAAGGTAGCTCAGTGGTAGAGTGCTTGCCTTGCATGCATGAGGCCCTGGGTTCGATTCCTCAGCACCACATATGCAGAAAAAGCCGCAAGTGGCACTGTGGCTCAAGTGGTAGAGTGCTAGCCTTGAGCTGAGGGATAGTACCCAGGCCCAGACTTCAGGCCCCACAACCAGCAAAAAAAAAAACAGAGTGTTCTTTTTGTGAACAACAGACCTTGAGGATTTTTGCCAAGCAACATGAAGCAAAGAAATACTTACATCATGGGGCCTTTCTCAGAAGTCATATATTTTTCCAATTTCTTCACTATGTCCTTCCCAGCTGGCCTGGATACTTCTTCCTGATAAATCTCCTGAGCAATAGCTGGGAATACAGCCTGGGCATTCCTCAAGGACATGCAATTCAGCATGATAGTTTTAAATCCCTTCTCTTCCTTCTAGAAAAAAAAAATTTTTTTAAAAAGTGCTAACATAGGAGTTATTGTGGCTTCAGAAGATCTGATGAAACTTGAAATGTCTTCTAGACCTAACAGAATATAAGAGGAAGCTCTATTTTCACTTTGAAAGATTTAGACAATGAAATATTGACAAAATATTTTGACAAAAACTTCAATCTCCTGAACATCTACTCATTCTTAGTCTTTAATAACCAGTGTTACTGGGGCTGGGAAGGTGGCTCAGTGGTAGAGCGCATGCCTTGCATGCCAGAGGCCCTGGGTTCGATTCCTCAGCACCACATTAAGCAAAAAGAAAAAAAGCCGGAAGTGGCGCTGTGGCTCAAATGGTAGAACGCTAGCCTTGAGCTAAAGAGCTGAGGGACAGTGCCCAGGCCCAGAGTTCAGGCCCCATGACCGGACCCAAAAAATAAAATAACCAGTGTTACTGGGCACTGGTGGCTCATACCTATAATTCTAGCTAGTCAGGAGTCTGAGATCTGAGGATCACCATTCAAAGCCAGCTAGGAAGGTCTGTGTGACTCTTACCTCCAATTAACCAATGAGCAGAAAGTGAAGCTGTTGCTCAAGAGTGCTAGCCTGGCAAAATTTAAGGGACAGTGCCCAGATCCTGAGTTCAAGCCCCAGGACCTTCCCCATAAAAAAAAAAAAAATACCACCACCACCACCAACAACAAAAAGTGTCCTTCTACAAAGAGCATTGTCATTCAGATTCTCAATGCACCTTGAAGTCTTGAAGAATTCGGCTTAAGCAGGCAGTTTTTCCAGTTCCAGGAGCACCAGAAAGGTAAAGACTTCCAGCTTTTTTTCCACAGATGTGTTCCCTCAGGAAATGCCTGATGACATCCATCTCCTTCTCTCTGGCAGGCAGCCGATCCGGGACAGCTGTATTTAGGACAAGCTTTGCTTGCTGATAGCAAGTGCCTGTGCCAGACATAAAAGGACAATTAGATACAACAGAAGGTGACTGGAAAAACCCAGTGGGCTTCATTCCGAGTCATCAGCTTTGCATCACGATGGCTGAGCCCACAGCTGCCATGCAAGAACGCACCTTCTTGCTTGAACAGTCTCACACATACAGATTCTTTCTCGAGTGGACATTTCTGTTCAGAATTTGTTGTGATTGTTTGATCTTTTTGAGCTGAGGAAAGTATCTTGTTTTGGTGAACTCTGGCTTTTTCTGTTTTGCCAGGAGACTTAACTGGCAGCTGATCATCAAATATCAATCTTCGTCCTTTAGGGTTAAGTGAGTGCGGAGGACCATTCTCTTTCTTGCCTTGCTTTGGTGGAGAACAGGAAGGTAGATGAGGAGTGTTGCATAGATTGTCATCACCTGAAACATTTAAAATGACAATAAAATGACTTGCAGATATCTCTGCCTTATTAAGAGGTCTATTTCTCTTTTTCACAAGTGCAGGGACTTGAAATCAGGGCCTTGGTGATATCCCTTAGTTTTTTTGCTTAAGGGCAATGCAGTACCACTTAAGCCACAGCTCCACTTCCAGTTTTTTGCTGTTTAATTGGAGATAAGAAGAATCTCACAGACTTTCCTGTCTGGGCTGGCTTTGAACTGTAATGCTCAAATGTCAGCTTTCTGTTTGTTTGTTTTTTTTGGGTCCGGTCGTGGGGCCTGAACTCTGGGCCTGGGCGCTGTCCCTCAGCTCTTCAGCTCAAGGCTAGTGCTCTACCACTTGAGCCAC